TGCCTCAGTGCACGTTTCCGTGCACTGCACTAGAGAGCTCATCCAGTGTGAAAAACTGGGAGGTTTTTCCTTGGAAATGGTTTTGGAGGTGATTTTAACCCAGTGAGCTCCCTGGTCCAGTGTGCTCACAAGTAAGTATGCCTGAACGTGAGGCACTGAGAGGAGAGGAAAAGGTGTTGGGAACCTTTGAGGACAGTGCTGACTGGTGTGGGTGGACTGTGTCACTTGGTGGCTGTGCTGCTGATACTGTGAGTCAGAAGGGTTATGGTCAGTAGGGTGGCACTGAGAAGGGAGAGAAATGAAGGGATGAGGAGCTGGGCAGGAGCTCCAAGCATGTGGAGTGGAAGATGAGTGCAGGAGGTGCTCGTGGCAGAACAAGGCTGTGGCTGCAGAGCCACTGCAGGGGGTGGCTGTGCACAAGGCTCTGCCAGTGAGGTGTTCAGAGCCACCTGGAAGAAACCACAGACAGAGGCAGGAGAGCCTCGTGAAAGAGTTGTCTGTTTAATTAGCGATGGGAAATGTTTGGTTAGGGTGTACTTGTAGTTACACAGCCTGGAGCAGGGGGATACTGCTGAGAATGGAGAGGTGTTTCTGTGGTAAGGGGTCCAAGAACCCCCTGGGGGAGTGTCTGTGCTGCCTCTGACAGGCTCAGTGCCCCCAGCCCCCAGCTCCTCGGGATGGCTCTGGCCATGGCTGAGGTGGTGTGGAAGGAGTGGAAGCAAAGCCTTGCTCTGGTCTAGTTTCCACTGGGTTCATGCCAGTAATAAAACTGCTGCAGCTCAGGGTCAAGGGCACAGAGTCTGGGCAAGAGCACCTGGATGGGAGTTGTCTTCAGCCAAGGAATAGCCTTAAAATTCCTTGATGCACAGATGTTTTTCCAGTGGTTCGTGTAGGCAATTCCAGCTTTGTTTTCCAGTGCTGGAGCCTGGGCATAGGTTTGCTTGTGGTGAAATGCTGAGTACCACAATAGAACCAGAGAACCACTGATGCTGGAAGGGACCACAATGGTCATCTGGTCCCACCTCCCTGTGCCAGCAGGGCCAGCCCAGAGCACATGGCCCTGTGTGTCCAAATGGTCCTGGAACACCTCCAGTGAGGGAGAATCCACGACCTCTCTGGGCAACCTGTTCCAGTAGAGACATTGCTTCAGTTTAGCCACGTGGGTGAGAGGAATGGAGCCGAGAGGGTGGGAATGGAGCTGACAGGATGAGAAGGATGTGTGTCCAAATGGTCCTGGAACACCTCCAGTGAGGGAGAATCCACGACCTCTCTGGGCAACCTGTTCCAGTAGAGACATTGCTTCAGTTTAGCCACGTGGGTGAGAGGAATGGAGCTGACAGGATGAGAAGGATCCCTGTGGGTGAGAGGAATGGAATGATCCCTGTGGGTGAGAGGAATGCAGTCCCCTGGAACTGCTGCTGTGCTGCACCAGGCTTGTCCCGTTTCTTTCAGAGCGACTGTGAGTACTGCCAGTACCACATCCAGGCCCAGTACAGGAGGCTGAGCTCGAGGAGGGCAGAGCTGCAGTCCACCTTCTCGGGCGGCCGCGTGCCCCGCAGGGTGGGCCGCAGAGCCCCCACGCTGAAGGAGAGGCTGTGCCAGGGTGGCTTCCACTACGGAGGAGTCTCCTCAGAAGCATATGCAGCCTCAGTGTAAGATAAACCACGTCTTCCCCTTGCTTTAGGACAGGATTTCCCTCCCAGGGGAGCCTGCAGCTCTCTCCAGGGGAGCCTGTTGAGTTAGAGGTGCCTCTGCCTTAGCTGCATTCAGCAGCTGGCAATGAATGCCCCACCCTTGGCGTGATGCTCAAGCTGCTGTTTGACAGGGAAATGTGAAATTGGCACTGAGGTGTGGTGAGGGCTGTTTCCATCTCTAAATGAGGTCTGTGGAGTGAGCCCAGGCAGCACTGGGTTTCAGCAGATGAAGTTAACTTTATCAAGAGCATTCAGCTCTCCAAGATGTCTATTTTTCAGTGCATTCCCTTACCACATTTTGTTATGGCTCCTGTTTAGCCCCAGACTCAGGGTATTCCCATTTTCCCTCCCGTGTCTTGGCTGAAGTAACACAGTGTCACTATGTGTTGATGAAGAGACAGGAGTGCCCCTTGCAGATTGTTAAGTGACCAAGATCTGTAGATCAGTTTACATCTCATAACTAGCATGGAGGGCCCAAGTCCTTTGTCCACATCTCCCTGAACACAGCTGTGGGAAGACGAGTCACAGCTGGGTCAAACCCTGTGCTTGTACAGCTTTCACAGCATCACAGGACCACCAGGGCTGGAGGAGCCCTCTAAGGCCACTGAGTCCAACCATTAGCCTGTCACTGCTGGACCCCCCAAACCCTAACCCAGATCCTCCAGTGCCACATCAGACACCTCTGAAACGCCTCCAGGGATGGTGACTGCACCACCTCCCTGGGCAATATCCCAGTGCTGAACACCACAACAGGGAAAACATTTCTCCTGACATCTCCCCTGACTCTCACTTCCTTCCCTGGCTCCTGCCCTCTGGTAACTGGTGGGGACCCACAGTAGGGAAGCAATTCCACCCTCCTCTCTACCCCTGGAACTAGCTGTGAGCAGAGCTCAGCTATCATCTGTTTAGCTTTCTCTCAGTGCAGAGAAAATAGATGTGTATATATCTATATATATCTCAACCCAGGGAGCAATGGGAGGTCCTAAACATTATGCTGGAACTTGGATTTAGATCCACGTCCTTCCCAAAGACACAGATGACCCTTCAGGGTGGCTGGAGTTCTGTTGGAGCTCTGGACTCACATTCAGTCTCCTGCCCTTGCTCTCAGCAGAGGAAAACTCTGATGTTCTGGTTCTGTTTCCTCTTTCTAGTGCAGCTGCTGCTGCGCCAAAAAAGGTTCAAACCACTCTGTCCAACCTGGTTGTCAGAGGAGCTGATGCAATTGTCCAGGAAACCAGGCAGAAAATTGGTATGTGATTGCCCATGTTGTCTCCTCACCCTCTAGACCTTTGAGGTCCATGTGTAGATGTGTCCCAGGGCCTCCCTGGGTGAGCATGGCATTGGTTTGCTGCAGAGATAGCTCTGTGTGTGCTGCTATCTGTGTGAAACTGTGGAGCTCCATGCACCTCTTTTTCATCAGTGCCCCCAGATTGCATCTCCTGTTGTGTCTTTGGACAACGACAGGAGATCTTTGCCAGATGAATCTGGGAATTGGGAGTTTTAAGAACTTTGACCTAGAGGATTTATTTCATTTGGTTAAAATAAATGAGTTCAGTCAGCCTTGAAAGCTTCCAAGGAGTGCTAAGTGTAAATCAGTTAGGTGTGCACTGCAGAGCAGCTCCTGAGGGCCCAGCCCGAGCCCAGTGCTTCTCTTTTGTGGCCCTCAGAGCATGTTCCTTCCACAGCCCATGGCATGTCTCCAGTCTTGGTTCTGTCAGCACTGGGTATTGCACCCTCTGTGCTCACTGGAGAGCACAGGTTACTCAGACTGTGTTCTAGATGCCACTTGGATGTCTTATTTCCATCTCTCCCTTGCCTCTATTTCAGACCACACAGTGCATGTCCCCAGCAGCTTTTAGCTGCTCTGTTCTGCAGGGATCAGGTGTGGAGGCCTCAGGACTGCCAGGCAGTCTGAGCAGGGGGTGGTGGGAGCACCCCAGGCTGAGGAGGGACTGGCTGATGAAATGCAGTGAAATGATGAAATGATGAATGGTGGGAATGTCTTTGTGGCAAAGGACGAGGCCTCGGGCAGCCACATGGGCCACAGAGGTTGGCCTTGGTGTGGGCAGTGCTCACTCAGGTGACCCACAGGGGTTTCTTCCAAACTCAGCACCTCTGAGGCCAGACCTGCTTCCCTTCCTGGCTCCGAATCTGTGGTGTTTCTGCCTCTTCCCTCCAGGTGCAGGGAAGAGACCCCTGCAGTGTTCCCAGGAGTTCAGGGAGCTGCTGTCACAGCCAACCTTTGGTGCTCGGAACCTCTGCAAACACTGGACTAAAACAGGTACTGTCCTTTGGCCCGAGGGAGAGCCCACTCAGAAACCCTCTGCACCCTCCCCAGCAACCAGCAGTGCCTCTTCTTTTGGCTTGGGTTGTTTCTCCCCAGATGCTGAAAAGAAGCAAGGGGCCAACTTCCAGTCCATCTCTGCTTCGGCACTGCTCAAGCAGCAGAAACAGAAGCTGCTGGAGGCCAGGAAGAAGCGATCTGAGGAGATTCAGAGGAGGTGATGCTCACTGGCTGTCGTGGGAAGGCTCTGGTGGCCCCGGGTGTGACTGTGGGAGGTGTTTTGCTGTTCTGTGAACAGCTCCATTTGAACAGAAACACCCCCGAGCCAAAGGCTCCAGCACAGTGCCCAGGAGCTGGGAAACAAGGTGGGGAGAGGCTGGCTGGGGTAAGAAACTGGGAGCAGGAGTCCTGGTTCTGTTCCTTGCTGCCTTGCAAGGCTCTTCCCTTAAGATTTGCTAAGTGTTTTGTGTATCTCTTGCTGACAAACATAGGAGGAGCCTCAGGAGAGCCACCCTGGCTGAGGCTGATGTTGGTGTGGCCAAACAGCCTAAAAAGACTCACCAGGAGCTGAAACAGAGCCCAGGGGAGACTAACAGGGCTCGGCACAATTGTGGTGGTATTTCCCCAAATACTCTTCCAGCCTCCAGCTGTGCATTTCAGGGACTTGCCAGGCCAAAGGTGGTGTCTGTTGCAATGTCTCTGCAGGGATTTTTTCCCCGTGGACATGTCCAACATCCACTGTCACCTGTGCAGACCTGAACACCTCAGTGACTCCTGTGCCAGGGAGACCCCTGCACATCACTGCTGATTCCAGGAACCCAGAGAGTTCCTTCCCAGCCTTGTTTCACTCTCCTGAATGCCTGAATTGCTGTTTCTTCAAGCAATAAAAGGCCAAATATGAGAAATCTGAGTCTGTTTCTGAAACCTTGTGCCTCTGACCTGTGTCCATAACGGAATGTTCCTTGTCCCACAAGGTTTCTCCAGAACACGAGCAAAGCTGGCAGTCCTGCTCTCCCATCCTCCTCCACACAGTCCTCCTTCCGGTCCCCAGTGCCTGGAGCAGAGTTTCCCAAAGCTGCCAAGATGTCAACTCCTCAGAGGCCCAAGCTGGGGACAGGCTTCTCAGAAGGGGAAGATATCCTCCTCTTTGACAGGTCTCCACCGCCAAAGCCGAAGCTGGACAGCTTGGCCGAAGCCAAAAAGGTACCTGCTCCTGGGGTCTGTCGGGCAGGAGAGGTGAGGGAAGGTTTGTGGCAGTGGAGGAGCCTTGGGTCAGATAGAGGACAGCTCAGCCCCGGTGTTAGCAGGGTCTGTGAGTTGTGGGATCACACTGGGCTGTATTCCAGCACTCAGGAGACCTGCAGCTCCTGGGAGCTGCTAGTGCCAAAGTCCACGCTGCCTCCTTGGCTTCAGCCAGTGCCTGGAGGCAGGGGATGTGTGCTGAAATCCCTGGAGTGCTGAGCTCTGGCGTCTCGTGCAGTGCACTGGGGATGGTTCCCATTTGCCAGGTGAGCAGCAGTGAGCTCAGCTGGGTTAGCTGTGCCATGAGCCTGGACAGCTTAGGCTTTGGCCAGAACATACTCCTCCTTCTGCTCTGTTGTTTGTCAGAGAGACTTTTCTCTTCCAGCAAGAATTACAGGACCATCAGGGCTGGAGGAGACCTCTAAGGTCACTGAGTCCAACCATGAACCTGTCACTGCTGGAACCCCCAAACCCTAACCCAGATCCTCCAGTGCCACATCAGACACCTCTGAAACACCTCCAGGGATGGTGACTGCACCACCTCCCTGGGCAATATCCCAGGGCCTCAACACCACAGCAGGGAAAACATTTCTCCTCACACCCAATCTGACTCTGCCTTGGCTCAGCTCAAGGCCATTCCCTCTCTCCTCTCCCTCAGCCCTGGCAGGACAGACCGTGTGACTCCCTCCAACCCTGTCCCAAGGAAGGAGTCTTGGAGGGACTATGAAGGGGAACAGTTGCATGCAGTTCTCTCTTAGTTCCAAATTGTTACTGATTTATGTGGGAACCTCAAGTGATTTGATTCCTCTGGAAAACTTGCTGGTTTGTGGTGCAGGCTGGCAGGGATGCCCGGCCTGGTGCCACCCACGGGGCAGTCACTGTGCTGTGGGTCCCGCGGGGTCGGGTGGTGTGTGGCAGAGCTGGGAGTGGTGTTGGGCCTCTCTTCACCAGCTCCGTGCCCAGACCAGGGGCTCCTCTCTGCTCCCCTTGCACCCTCCTGGGAGCAGCTGGAGCCAGGCAGGTCCTCACCCTGTCCCTGTCCTGTCCCACAGCTGGCAGCGATCCACCGGCTGCGAGCCAAGGGGCAGGTGCTGGCTAAAGTGGACCCAAACAGCATCAAGAGGAAAAGAACCGACGCTGGTGACGTCCTAGGAATTGCTGAAAGGGTTGAGAGAAACGTTGCTCAGCCACCAGGAGCAGAGAATGGTATGTGCTGTTAGCTTCTACAGCAGAGGGAGGCAAAGCTTGGCCTGTTGGGAACTTCAGGGGTTTGCAGACACTGAACAACCTCTCACCCCGTGGGAAAAGTGTGAGATGTAATCTCTGATTCCTTCTGGCACCTTGAGCCCCTGCAGTGCATGTCTGACTTCAGCAAGGGACACCAAGGAGTTGTCCCACCTGGGGAGGGAGCCGAGTGTTCCGTGGGATTGTGCCCACGGAGGTTTACTGGGTGATCTTGGATGAATTGCTCCCTTCCCTTTAAAGCTCCTCCTCAGACAGAGAGGTTCCCCTGCCGGGGGTGGTGTGGGAGTTCTGGTGCAGTGCTTTGAGAAGAGGCAGTGTTATTTCTGGGCAGCCAGATCTGACCTTGGCTCCATGTTCCCAAACTGACAGGCTGAATCTCTGCTGTGACCGTGCTCAGAGATCTCGGCCTCGTTTGGGATGACTGAGCCCTTTGTGTCCCCAGATGTGTGTGACCTGGAGCCTGCCCAGAAGAAGCAGCGTGAGCAGTTGGCCTATCTGCACTCGGAGGAGTTCCAGAAGATCCTGAGTGCCAAGTCCAAGCACACAGATGTCCTCAGGGAGGTATGGCCTCACTCCAGCCCTGACTGAGGGCTCAGACCCAGCTGTCTGCACTCAGTGACTGCAGCAGGGACACCAAGCACACCAATGGCTCCAGGTGGCCCCGATGAGAGGTCTGGGTGTCCCTGAGCTCACAGGTCAGCACTGCGGCCGTGGGATGGCTCTGTGGCCAGCAGGGATGGCTTTGTCTGTGTTTGGAAGAACCAGTGAAGTTTCCTGGTTAGTACAGGACGAAGAAATCCTTCTGCTTTAAAATCAGATTGGCCACATGCCTGTTTTGTCCCTCGTTTCCCAACACCTCGGCCACATGACACCCCCTGCCAGCTCCCCCGTGGCTCACGCGAGGCACAGAGCATGGGCAGTGCCAGTGGTTGCCCTGATGGCCGAGGTTGGGTTCTCCCATGGAGCACATTCCCAGGGGTACAGCACCTCCAGGGGACAGAGCTCTTGTCTTGAGCATGAGTTGGTATGGAGTCTAGTTGGCTCAAGGTCTTCTGAGGTTGGCTGAGAAGTGATTCCAGCCCTTACACCTGCCTGCCTGGCCTGGCCCCGCACAGTTGCGGTTGGCACATCTTGGGTCGGTGCTTTTTGCTGTCAAACCCTGCCCATCTCAGCCGTGGCTCCTCGGTGTGGGTGCAGCACAGCCTGTGCTCTCCTGGGTGAGCTGTGGACCCAGCTCCATGTGGTGTGTCCCTCTCCCACCTCTGTCCCCCCACACCCTCCTGTGTGCCCCAGGCCGAGGCCGAGCTGCAGGAGCAATACTTCGAGCCGCTGGTGAGAAAGGAGGAGCTGGAGGAGAAGATGAGGAGCATTAAGGAAGTGAAGTGCCGAGTGGTGACGTGTAAGACGGTGAGTGAGGGCAGCAGGGTGGCAGCAGAGCGGGATGGGCTGGGCAGGCTCCCCCTGCCCCCCGTGCCTGCTGCCCTTCAGGGTCAGATGGCTTTGGCCTGTGGCTGTCACCGAAATGGGGAACCCACCCCGAGGTCAGCCCTGCTGTGCCCAGGGCTCCCCAGGGAGTGCTGCAGCAGGGCCCTGTGGTGGGGGCACAGGGGCAGGGTGCCCTGGGAGCAGCACTGATGGTCTGACCCTCAGGGTGGGAGGGCCAGGGATGCTTTCTGAGAGCCCTGAACAGGCCCTGGAGCACTCGGGGCTCTCTCTGCTCCCTGCAGTGTCATTACACCCATTTCAAGCCTCTGGAGACGTGTGTGCAGCAAAGCCACGACTACCACTGGCACGAGGCCAGCAAGAGGTTCTTCAAGTGTCCCTGTGGCAGCAGAGCCATTTCCCTGCACAGGCTCCCACAAAAAACCTGCAGGTAAGGGATGAGCCTCAGCACACGGACTGGGACTCGTGTACTGTCCCTGTGACCTGTGCTGAGCCACATCACCGTGTGCTCAGCAGCGTGGGCAGGTGAGGGCTGGTCAGGCACCCTCACACTGCAGGTGTGGGGCACTCCTCACACTGTGCAGGTGTGGGGCACTCAGACCCTCACACTGTGCAGGTGTGGGGCACTCAGACACACACTGTGCAGGTCAGGTGGGCACTCAGACACACACTGTGCAGCAAACACCCCAAGGAGATTCTCACCTGCCTTCTCCTCTTTCAGCACCTGTGGCCTCTACAAGTGGGAGCGAGACGGGATGCTGAAGGTGAGTGTGAGATGCTGAAGGTGAGTGTGAGTAGAGATGCTGAAGGTGTGTGAGTAGAGATGCTGAAGGTGTGAGTGTGAGTAGAGATGCTGAAGGTGTGAGTGTGAGTAGAGATGCTGAAGGTGTGAGTGTGAGTAGAGATGCTGAAGGTGTGAGTGTGAGTAGAGATGCTGAAGGTGTGAGTGTGAGTAGAGATGCTGAAGGTGTGAGTGTGAGTAGAGATGCTGAAGGTGTGAGTGTGAGTAGAGATGCTGAAGGTGTGAGTGTGAGTAGAGATGCTGAAGGTGTGAGTGTGAGTAGAGATGCTGAAGGTGTGAGTGTGAGTAGAGATGCTGAAGGTGTGAGTGTGAGTAGAGATGCTGAAGGTGTGAGTGTGAGTAGAGATGCTGAAGGTGTGAGTGTGAGTAGAGATGCTGAAGGTGTGAGTGTGTTCCTCAGCACTGTCTGCTCCCCTTGATGCTTTGTTCCCCTCTGTTTCCGTGCCTCAGTGAGCTCCTGCAGACCAAGCAGCTCCAGAGGTACCTGCAGCTCTTTCAGTAGAGTTTCTGCTCTCAAAGCTTTGTTTTATTTAGCTGTGGGGAATTTGCTTTTGAACTATTGTAAGAACTCAGAACTTACAGGTCCCTTTAACTTAATCAGGTACTTCAGCCCTACCACAGTTTGTGGCAGAGAAGTGTTTGGGAGGCATTTGCCACTTGTTTAACCTCTTTTCTCCATGGTTGATGTTCCCAGGAGAAAAAGGGGCCAAAGATTGGGGGAGAGACACTTCTGCCACGCGGAGAGGAGCAACCGAAGTTTCTCAACAGCCTGAAGTGACCTGGAGCCGATTCTTTTTCACCAAACAGGGATGGATTTCTGTGGCTGGAAC